CTGGCATTACATTTTAGGACACACATGGCCCAGCCCAACAAGGTCTCATTTATGTCAGATCTGGCCCTCATAACAAATGAGTTCGACATCCCTGGTCTAGAACACATATACTGGAAGAGTTTTGTAAATAGTAGATGACAGTTTTCTGGCTGTTCTGGGTTGGCATAATAACCCCCTGCGTATGTGATGCCCACTTCCTTATGATAGGAGCAGTACAAATGGGATTAGGTGCTTCTTGGGAGCTGCTTTAAATTGCTGACTTAGGCTGTGTGGGGTCCTTGCTGTTTGGGGGAAGACTGTTTTTCCTTTAAACCACCCTCTGTGTATATAAACTTGGTAGTTTTCTGCTGCCACCAGGAATTAAAAATGCCAATTCTCTCTCTTTTGGTAGTATGACCCAGGGTCTGGGCACTTCAGAAGACTATGTGGCCCTGAGGAAGGACTGTACTGATTGCTGGCATATGTTTAAACAAAAATTGATTTATTGAATAAAGAACAAAATAGGTTTATGGCTATCTTGAACTGTTTCTGGATAAAGGAACTTGTAAATATAACTGGCAAGGTGCCACACACAGTCTCTCCGACACCAAAATTCCACACCGACAGGCTTCTCTCTCTCCTATATGTAGCCACACTGAATGAATGAATTTTATTGTTACAGCGCATAGCCAGCAATATAAAACCTTAAAAAAATAAATTACAATAACCGGATGATAAAACTACCGAAAATACAACAGGGTTAAAAAGAGGCAACATTTGTACAATCGTTTTGATCACTAAAACCAAGCTTAAGAATACGCTGCAATAAAACGCAGTTAAAAGAATAAAAATGATAAAAATGGCAAAAATGGCAATAGAATTAAAAACAAGCAGTCCTAACCCAAGTGACAACCAGAACACTGGTGAGCTTTTACAACCAGTAGGCAGAATTTCGCAATCTGATGCAGCGCTCTATGTTCAAAGTTAGAAAACAAATTTTCTATCTTATCCTGGTCTGAAGTGCCAGCCAGAAAAGGATCGATTAGTTTTGTACGATCCTCGTTATATAATGGGCACCTCAGGAACACTGGCTAAGCTCTTTGTCTTAGGCACACAAGATAAAACATTTCTCTAACCACACAGTTTAGACACTACTTGTTTCTTTGCCATATAGACTCTCTCACCAAACGTTTAGAGTCACACAGACCCTCTTCATAGCTCTTCCACACTTCACTTTCCAAACTCCCGGTCTTAAAACACACACACACAGATTCCTCGCAGAACATCTCCTGCCACACTCTCAGTCATCAGCCAATCACAGCACACTCGTCTCCCTCTATCACTCTTCTTACAGTACTGCAGTGAAACTCAACATTTAAAGACACACACACCAAAACATGGAATCATTACAGGCTGTTATCCTCATGCTGAGACAGCACAGGAAGCTGCTTGCCATATAAATCAGGTGCTTTTCTCCATGAATACTTCTACTGAATCAGACTCAGGGTCAGTATTGTCTAGTCAGATTGGCAGCGGCTGTCCAGGGTCTCAGGTCACCTGTTGCCTGGTCCTTTCAAACTGGAGATGCCAGGGATTGAACTTGGGACCTTCTGCATGCCAAGCAGAGGCTCTGCCAGTGAGCCACAGCCCCTCCAAACCAATACAATACTCATGGGGAGGGAGAGGTTGAAATGGGCGGGGGGGAACCCTGATCTGCTTCACCTGTGGAGACTGTTGCAACAAGTGCCCGACAGAACAATTTAAAACAACTTCAATGAGGCAAGTGCTTTCTCTGCACAAACCCAAAACAACGGGTTGGATCCATCCAACTTTTCTGTTGATGACCAAGGGAGGACTGGAAGAGGATGGCCACCAAAAACTCCTCTCCTGGAAACTGTCACGGGCAAAAGCCATGTGGGACAGGAATTGTACTAAGCAGGAGGACAGGGTGAACCTGAATGAAGAAGCTGGCTGGATCCAACCCACAGTATTAAAGTCTAGCTACAATGCTGACAGCGCCTAAAGCTTTTCCTGTGCAGCTGTGAGTGGTCTTCCTTTTTTTTTTTTTTAAATCCTTTAGTAAGTGAAATGAAAACATAGAAAAAAGAAAAGACAGGGAACTTGTTATGATTATCAAGCCGACGCGGCCCTTTTTGTAAGATCATAAGAATGGAGTGCTTTCTTATATGCCTTTACTCAAAAACGTATGTTATATTCTCTCATCAGTAGATCTGCAACCAGTTTGCCTTACCTGAAATTGGATGGCATAAACGAAACTCACCTGCTGCCACGTTTAAAACAAGACTGGTTTCGATTCCAATGCTGCTTCTGATGGCAAACCCCAAAACTTAGGGTTGCCAACTCCAGACTGGGAAGCTGTTGGAAGACTTGAGGGGTGGAGCCTGGGGAGGGTGGAATATGCCGGAGAATCCACCCTTCTGAAGCAGCCACATTCTCCAGAGGAACTGATCTCTATAGTCTGGAGATCAGCTGTAACACCAGAACTCCAGGCCCCACCTGGAGGATGGCAGAGTGGTCTTTCTGGGGTGTTCCCATGGAGAACCGGAGAAGCCTTCTATAGAACTGTTGACTTGTGCACTGTAAAGTTGTGAGCTTTGGGTGAGTACAGCAAGCTTCCCCCCCCCCCCCCCCCTACTATTTTTTTTTTTTTATTTTTTTTT